TCGAGCAGTAAGAGTGAAAGCCAGACGAGGCGACGTGTCTGTGTAGCTGTTTACTCAAAGACCAGGACGACACTGAATGATCAGAGTTTGCGGCGCGCGAAGAAGCACCGAGAAAAACGTCTGAGCTTGTCCAGGTTTGTTGCTGCAGACAGTCACATTAATACTAGAGCTCTGTGGAAATGAGCAACCACTGCAACACACGCAGCTGCGACTGCAGGTACGATGTGTTGCATCAAATCCAAGTGTAGACGTTTGATGCTGAAACCCAGAGCTGCACACTGGAGCATGTTTCTGCTGGTAGGATCATCCAAGGCCTCTCATAGTAGGCTTTGCCTTTATCCATCCAGTGTGTCTCTGTGGAAACGGTTTACACTCACACACACACACACACACACACACACACACACACACTCATTAACATGGCGCAGTGCTCCTCCAGTTGCTGCTGCAAAACACCAGAAACTCAAAGCAACAAAAAGACTGAACACAATCAAAAGAATGTACAAAAGGCACGTTTGACCCCAGTGCTGCTGAACTGTAAGATTCAAGTGTAAATGAGCGTCTGTAGCATGGCTGTCGAAGCTCTCCACCATCACAAAGACAACATCCTCTCTGAGAGCATTGTTCTGGCTGCGTGCGTTTGTTAGCACCGAGGCTAACGCTCAGATCATGTCAGTTAGCCTGAATGCTAGCCAGTGCCAGGCCTTGCTAGGCCCGGAGTCAGCGTGGCCCCGAGTGCCATCAAACTGTCCTCAAGAGGCAGCGAGTCTCTTTACAAGCTGTCCCGCAGAAATACAGAAGATCCAAACCCCGTGTTTACCCAATTTCATCTTTCTTTACCCCACCCGCCGAAGCAAGGGTGGGGGGCAGAGTGGCCGTCGTTAGTAGGGAATGCTAATCATCCCCTCCGCCGTACAGGTCGGCCAGCTTGCGGAAGCGCGGCCCCCAGTCGCCCAGGTAGTCGTAATCCTGGTCTCCGCAGCTCGAGGAGGAGTGCAGGGAGCTGAGGGAGCCGGCGGTGGAGCCGCTGCCTTCGTAGTCGAACACCAGCAGGGAGTCATAGGGAGGAGCGGTGGGGTCGTTGTCTGCTGCCTTCAGACCCTGCAAGACAAAGAGGAGCAGGTGAGGAACAATACGGAAAGAAGAGTGATACGAGCTTTCTGCGAGACGTTTCCTGCACTGAGCCCTCGTTGCCTGCTGGACGGGGAAAGTCTAAAGTGTCCCGTAACACACTGAGGCCGACCTTTGCACTCGGCTCAGAGTGCTTATCACATTTCATACCTCATGTTCTTCCCCAGCAACAGCTTAGTCCTAACCAAAAGCATTTCCAGTCTGGAGTGGAGCGTTTCATGCTGGGTGCTGACTCCACTCACACTGTCGGGGGTTCACGTCTGCACATGACTGTAGGCCAGTCGGCCTGAGCCTGAGGATCACCACCGTGTGCTTCATCAGAGCTTTTGGAGACCACCCAAAGTTTGGTCTTTTACCCCCTGTAGAAGCTGCAGCACATCACTGGGCTCTGACACTGACACTCTATTGTGCGTTCCTGTCAGTAATTGAGTGGGTCAGTAAAGGTTTCATCTACTTTATCAGTGGTCGCTGCAGCAGGGGAGTGACAACACACACACTGTTTTCTGTGGGGTAAGAACATCCTGACACAGGTTCATCTGGGAGCTTCCACACTCTGAAACCACTGATGACTGTATGGACAATCTCTGCTTTAAACTCCCAGCTGATCAGGAACAGATATTCTGTGTTTGTATCAGAGGTTTTCCACCCGTAACAACTGCAGAGAATCTCTGAGAAAAGCACAATTTACAGTAGAGCAGCTACAAGTCTGACAGTATTAACAGAGGATTATAGTAATCCTACATTTCTATAGTAACTGTACAGTAGGCAGGAGGGTATTATAGAAATGTTCATGCTTGAACACAGGCACAGTTCAAACCACAAAAAAGCCCAGCTGATGATCTTTGTGGCTCCACGAGACCATCGTCAGG